GGACCCTTCTTCAGAAAATTTTCTGAAGAAGGGTCCAGACCCGAAACGTCAGCTTTCCTGCTCCTCGGATGCTGCTTGGCCTGCTGTGTTCATCCAGCTCTACACCTTGTTATCTCTGATTCTCCAGCATCAGCACTTCCCACCATCTCGGAATCATAAAATGACAGCCGGGTTATTCTCAGGAATTGAAAAATCAGGAAGGTTTATCATATTATGTAAAGCATAGTGGAAATCTGGAATTCACTCACCAAACAGATGTGAGATTGTTGTGACAATGGGAATTTTCACAACCGATATTTTGGTATTTGTCAATGGCAACCTGTGATATATATATCATTCCTGGATGAAGAGCCTGTCTTATAAAGCAAGGCTGAACAGATGGATATGTTTGGAAATGACATGATCTTATTGAGTGATGCAGCAGGGTGAACAGTCAAATAGTTACGCTTGCTGCCACAATCCAATTGAAAATTAGAAAGATTTATTCCTGTCTCTTTGCTCAAATTAGCAGAATTTGATTGCTGATGATTTAAGATGATAGGAACTTCAGGCGTCATTTGCTTGACTGGTGAGTAATGTTGCTGAATACTACAATTTCAAACTTCTTTTTATTGAAGCAATTAACTTCAGTTAAGCCATTTCTTTGAATATAAAAAGGGAATATCAATACATTTTCATAATCTGTTGTCCCAATAATTCAAAGACATTGGAATACAAAATATCAATTTTTGTCTAAGTTTCTAAAGATAGAAATGTCAAGCAGCAGATATTAAAAGCATAAAATGTTAGTGGTTTTTACTAATTACATTTTACATAAGTGTTCCAAGCCAACTATTCTTTAAAAAAACTGATCAAGAACCTCAGCTGTATAAAGCTAGATCATTAATAGGAATTAAAAATTGTTGTGTATTAGAATTATATACAAAGTGGCAAAGACAACTTAAAATGTGGAATTACAATTTTAAAATGAAACCAAAAAAAAAAAGTTACTCGGTATTCTCAGGTCAGGAAGCACCTCTGGAAGGAACATATTTAGCACTTTGGATGGTTGATGCCCATCATTTGTTTTTATTTCAGATTTCTGGTCCTTGGATTCTTGTGCTTTTGTTTACGGTTTTCTTAAAGTTTTGTTAAATTAAAAAAAGGTACAATGTGTTTCAGGAGGACTGATAGCCATTTGAATTCTAATCAAAAATATGTGTAGGACCACATTAAATTTATGTTGAATAATACTATAACTTAAAAAGGCATAACCCAAAACAAATCAGTACGCCTAAACCACAATGCCAAAAGCTACTCACTTATACTTACAGTCTAAGAAAACATCTCCAGACAATGTTGGCTCATGATTAAAGTTTACAAATCTAGAATCGTGCCCCAGCATACTATTAAAATATTAATTTATACAAAGCTTTATGCACATTTGTTCAACTCACCTTCTGAAGAATCTAGTGAATTAAGTTGACTACTCCCATTGCATGAATCACTCTGTAGGGGAGAAGAGAAGAATTGAAATCTTTACATTTTAAGTGGTCTAATATATTATTTCTACTTAAATTCAAAAGTGACCCTCTACTATGACCATGATTATGTAGAATTCACAGCATTTTAATTGCAGATTTGAATAAGCATGTTTCCATGAACCACATCCATAAACTAAAAAGTAATATTGATACCCAAGATAACTCCCTTGTCAAGCTTCAGATGTTGGTTAGAAGCACAACCAAGAAGAAAAAAAAAAGCTGTTTTTTTTTAAAAAAAGAAAACAAAATAAACCTGCTTGTTCATGTTTTGTCACACTTCTGAGCCAGGTGAGATTTGAATTTGGCTTTTTGCCCCAGATGTAGGGACACTATCACTGCACCACAACATCCGTAACAATGATATAAAATAGTAATTTAACAGGGAGTTATTGACATTATCAGCCAACAAGTTATAGGCAGATCAGCACTTACATAAAACAAAGTTGAATTACATAATAAAAACAAATATAAAGAACTGTAGGAAGGCCCACTTATTTATGCAGAGACAGTGAGGGTGCAAAAATATTTTGGTTTGGAAATTCAAGTACAGTAAAAAAGAGCAGGCGATGAATATGATTAACACACTAATTGTATTTAGTAGTGCAAGGTCAGCTAAGATGTGAAGTAATTAATTTAACAACACAGAAAAAGTATAATTCCAAAGGAGATGAAGAATCAGAGTAACCTGTGAATGTCTACACAAAATCAGAAGGCGAAAGAACAAGTTGAGAGCAGTTAATAAACCATACGACTGGATCCCAGGCTTACAAAAGAGGCACAGTACAAAAGCAAGCCATGGTAAATTTGTATAAAAACACTGGTTTGTCCACAACTAAGCAGTGCGTCCAGTTCTGGACACTGCACTTTAGGAAAAATGCGAAGGCGCTAGAGAGAGCGCAGAAAAAAAAAAAAAGGGAAGGTCTACGAGAATGCTTCCCAGGATGTGGAACTTTAGTTACATGAATAGTTTCAAGACATTTGTCCTTGGTGAAGAGATTTGATAGAGACAGTGAAAATTATTTGTTTGGACAGAGTGGATCGGGTGAACCTTTCCTGTTGGTGGAAGGATCAAGCACCAATGGAGACCAATGCAAGGTGAATAGTCAAAGCACAAAGTAACATGGTAAGAATTTAAATGCACTGCTTGATAATATGGTGGAGGAAGACTCAAATCATGGTTTTCAAAAGAGATTTGAATCATTATTTAAAGAGGAAAACCTGCAAGACTACAACAGACAAGACAGTCCAAGTACCTTCTATACTTTAACCATGCTGTGACATTCTCTTAAAAACACATCTAGAATGAATGTTACCCATAATGTTTTTTTTTTTTTTAAAAACATACCACTAACATTTTCACAAACAAGTTTGAATTAAAGTCAATAAGCGTGCTAAGCCAAAGTAAAGAATACATATTTTAAACAATAACAAAGTAACTGATCACCTGTAAATGCACTTGTTTACCTCTCTAAACAGCTGAAGTACTGATTTTTTAAAAGCCTCCTCTTCTTTCACTTGCATTTCTGTTAATCTAGTGAAGTCTGTGCATCTCTGTGGTTTGATATTCATACTTGTACAAATCTTTCCTTCAATACTCTTGAATAGCACACTCAATGACCGTGGCACGATACCCACATCATGATCTGGCCCTAAAACAAAAACAGAATAATTAAACAGCATCGACTTTAAAAGGATTTTTTTCTCCCCCTCAACAAGTTCCCATTTGAACAAAAAGAAAACAAACCTTGAAACGTGTACGTTTTTCCTGCATTGGTAACACCATAAGTAAAAACCAAAGCATTTTGGCCATTCAGAACTTCCTTAATAAGTGGTTTTACTGCTCCAAATACTTCTTTTTGTTTGGTTTCTGGACCATATACCTAAGAATTGAAATAATGGATTAAAAAAATTTAGCATATTTATATCAATTTGCACGAGGAAAAGGTTTGCACTAGGTCAGTACCCAATACGATTGCACAAAGTGCTGAGATAAAATAATATTGCCGTAGTACGAGAACAGCAAACATTTGGTTTAAGAGGCAAGCTTTCAGGAAGGAAGGATGAAGACAGCAGAAGACATGGCTGCAAAGAGTGAGACAAAAAAAGAAGTATACGCACAATGCCGGAAGTGGAGGATAGCAGAATTCAAATGAGGAGAGGCTGGAAGTTACAGGTGGGAAGTGGCCTTGCCTAGGAAAGAATTTGAAAGCAAAAGGTGGGAATTTAACAAAAATATTGGAGGTTTGCAGTCAATGGTTCAGTTAGCCAGAGGATGGTTAGTAAACTTAAACTGCAATGAGTTAGGATACAGGCAGCAGAACCTTGGCTGAGTTCAAGTTGTAGATACATTGAGGCGAGTCAGAAGAGGATTCCAATTCCCTAACTAAAAGAAATAAACACGGGCAACTTGTTCAGCAAATGATTAGCAATGTTGTCAGGATGGGGGAAATAAAAGTGAGCAAGAGCGATGGTTACAACATCGTGGGTCAGCAGTTTAATGTTGAGACAATAGAGATTTATTAACAGTGAGACACAATAAGAGACAGGAGAGAATTATAGAACTAGAACGTGGGCAAAATTAGTTTTGGTAGGCAAAAGGATAGGAGTTACACAGAGGTGAGTGAATACACATCCTCAAACTTCACAAAAAATAAATGCCTGAACTCTTCATATTCTTAGAAGGTACAGTGGGTTCAAAAACAAAAAGATGCAGACTCAAGAATACAGTTGGTAGCAAAGAGTTAGCTTTGCATCCCATCATGAACCTATAAAAGTGAGCAGTTTCAATGGAACTTAACGCGGAGAAAGCTAGATACAGTATTTCAATAAATGGTTATCCCAGTTGTATCTGAAAATTGTCCAAAACTGTACTTAGTATCTACCCCCCCCACCCCGAGTCTAATCGTGGAATTGTTATTATGCGGGGAAAAAAATGTTGTTCAATCCATTGAATCCAACTCTGAACAGTACTCAAGTCACAATGCTCATTCTCTTGAGATTTCCCATAACCTTGAAAAGTTGTGTTTGTTTAAAATAAGTCATCTGAACCACTCAAATGCTTAGAACGAACCTGCCTCCACCACTCTTCCAGGCAGTGGATTCCAGTCCCTAACTATTCATTTGAAAAAAAAGTTCGTTCTCATGGCATTTACTTACTTGTAAATTACGCAACAAGCTGGCATTACGGTATCAGGAAACCTTGGCTAGGGATGGACTGAAGACTTGTAAGTTTAGAATCCCTGCATTGCAAATGAACATTCTTGGATGCTACCTGTGCCTCCTGGGACAACCTCAGAACTTGTGTTTCAGTGGTTAGAGGACAAGGAAGGCTGTGTCTTTCTGATTGATGACTCCAAACTGCCTCAGAAAACGAGAGACTCTCTTTCTGTGTCCTTCAGCCTGAATTTGTCACAGTGTGTTTGAGAGAAATCATGAAATGCAACGTGTAATTCTTCTCACTTTATTGTTATTTACTTTAGCCACACAGTCTGCAAATCTGCCATATTGTTACAGAGGGGCAAATTGCTTTTTTGATATGGAGCAGGGCCCAAATGTTTATCTGCGAAAGCCACTCTGGAAGAGGAGAAGTATTTATATGTCCTGCTGTTCGTAGAGTTGAAGCTATTATGGATTGATTTGGTTCAAAGCAGGACAGTGTCAGAGGAAATGTGGTGACAGACAGCCCCAGATGTTAAGGCATGAGGAGAATGGAAACTTTCTTCCAGAGACGTGGGACCAACCAAAAGAGGAACACTGTGTCTGTTTCCTGTCCCAACAAGGGTCCAAAAAATTCCATCCTCTCACCTAAAAATGGTACAAAGCTAAAGGAAACCAGATAGCAAGAAAGAAAGTGGAAGGGAAAAGCCCTAAGCAATGGCTAAAGTTGCAGATGAGACAAGCCAAGTTGAGAGAGGTGATTAAATATACATTTTAGGCATAGAATCTTTGCCTTTAGCTGTTCCTAGTATGAATATATTTCAAGTTTCAACCCAGAAATTGTTACAAGTGTAGTCCAATCTAACATGTGGTTCAGATGGAGCAAAATTTTCACATCATAGACCAGGATTGGCTTGTGTTACCTACTCCTGAAATTTAAGACATCCTCCTGCTCTATATTCCTAATATTTAGAATTAGCAGACATAAAACTCACATTTTTTCTAAAAACTTGTTTTTCCGCTGGAAGACTTCAAAAGATAATTCAATGTGTGTCAACCAAGCACAGTTTTATATTATGCAAAGTCAATGAAGACTAACAGCAACTAACAAATAACCCATGATGGAAAGTACACTTCCAATGCAGCAAATCGAGGGAAACTGTTTATTAACACTGGCAGTGGTGTACACAGCTTGAACCCAGAATTAGGACCTGGATTGAGACCCTGTTTTACACAGAATTAGAGCATTAAAAGCACAACAGGTGGTCACTTGGCTCCTCATGTCTGTGTCAGAGAGCTGACAGACCAATTCAGCTAATTACATTGCCTCCTCCTTTCCCCATACCCCTGCATAATTCGCTTTGGGTGTTTACTAAATATATTTTTTTTATAATTTTGTCAGGTTATGCATTTCATAAACTAACTTCTCATTTCATGCTTAAGAGTCAGTTCAACTCTTCACATCCAAAAATTTAAACTCATTAGTGTGAACACAGCCATGATTACCTGCTTTCAGTTTACTGGCGAGTCTAAAACCAGAAGGTACTTCGAGAAGGAGGTCTTAAACTTACAGGTGTCTACTTTTAATGTTCTTTTTTGAAGTTGAAATGTGATGGGCAACTTTTTAATTAAAAAATGTTTTATCATTTTTGGAATCAAAAAAGAAAATTGTTTCTAGAGGTCATAAGTGGCTTGCAAATCTACTTCAGTGAACCAAATTACTTTTCTTCTCTTGATTTTATTAGAGAGTTTGGTCCATATACATCTGTAAACCCAGCCTCCAAAAGGAGCTACACGGCATAAATGTTTAAGAGGGGAATAATAGATAAAAATGGTGTTCGTCTTCAGTAACACAACTTATCGGAGACTGAACAAAGGTAAATGCACTTTTTAAATTTAGTCATGGGACGTGGGCCAGTATTTTTTATTGTCGAACCCTCGTTGCCCTCAAGAAAGTGGTGGTGAGCTGCTTTTTGAACCACTGCGGTCCACCTGTTGACCCACAATGCCATTAGAGAGGGAATTCCAGGATTTTGACCCAGTGACAGCAAAGGAACAGCAATATATTTCCAAGTCACAATGGTGAGTGGCTTGGAAGGAAACTTGAAGGTGGTGGTGTTCCCATGTATCTGCTGCCCTTGTCCCTCTAAATAGAAGCAGCCATGGGTTTGGGAGGTATCATCTCAGGATCTTTGGTGAATTTCTGCAGTGCATCTTGTAGGTATTACACACTGCTGCTACTGAGTGTTGGTGGTGGAGGGAATGGCTGCTTCTGGAAGTGGTGCAAAATCAAGCAGGCTGCTTTGTATGCATGGTGTCAAGCTTCTTGAGTGTCGTTAGAGTTGCACCCATCCAGGCAAGTGGGGAGTATTCCATCACACTCCTGATCTTTGCCTTGTTAATCGTGGCTTCATGCACACAGGTGGTGAGTTACTCACTGCAGTATTCAGAGCCTCCGACTTGTTTTTGTAGTGACTCTTTATGTGGTGAGTTTCTGGTCAATTGTAACCCCAAGGATGTTAAATGGATCAGCCATAGGAAATGCAGGGTTACAGTAGGGGTGGGTTTGGGTGGGATGCTCTCTGGTGGCAGAGTGTGACTTGATGGGCCAAATGGCCTGCTTCCACACTGTAGGGATTTATGATCCTGTGATTCTTCTTTGCTTCTGTGCCCACTCATTCTCAATCCTTTATTAAAAAGGGAACAGTTTTGCTCCATCTACTCTATAGAAATCTCTCAGGATCATTTTGAAAGTCTTCTCTGCCAAGAAAGACAGTCCCAACTTTTTCAATCTATCTTCATGTCTTGACACCTGGAACTATTTTTAAGTCTCCTCTGCATTCCCTTCAATACATTCACATCTGTCCCAAAAAAGGTGTGGCACCCAGACTGTACACAATACTCCATGAGTTTGAACTAATTCCTTATACAAATTCAGCATGACTCCTTACCCTGCACACTATGCCACAAATAAAACCAGCATGCAGTGTCTGAGGCTTTATTAACTGCTCGCTCTACCAACTTTAGTGACTTAAGCTCATAAACCAGGAGATTCTGCTCTTGAGCATCATTTATTCTATAGTGCACCTCCACGTTGCTTCTACCAAAAATATATCACGTTGCACTTCTCTGCTTTTAACTTCATCTGCTACTTATTGGCCCATTCCATCAACTTGTCAATATAAGAACATAAGAACTAGGAGCAGGAGTAGGCTGTCTGGCCCTTTGAGCCTGTTCCGCCATTCAATAAAATCATGGCTGATCCTTTCGTGGACTCAGATCCACTTACCTGCGTTCTCACCGTATCCCTTAATTCCTTTATTGTTCAAAAAAATCTACCTTTTTTTAAAAAAGCGTTTACTGAAGTAGCGTCAACTACTTCACTGGGCAAGGAATTCCATAGATTAACAACCCTCTGGGTGAAAAAATTCCTTCTCAATTCAGTCCTAAATCTGCTCCCTCTAATCTTGAGGCTATGCCCTCTTGTCCTAGCTTCACCTGCCAGTGGAAACATCCTCTCTACTTCTATCTTATCTATTCCCTTCATAATTTTATATGTTTCTATAAGATCCCCCCTCAATCTTCTGAATTCCAATGAATATAATCCCAATCTACTCAGTCTCTCCTCATAAGCCAACCCCCTCAACTCCGGAATCAACCTAGTGAACCTCCTTTGCACCCCCTCCAGTGCCAGTACATCCTTTCTCAAGTAAGGAGACCAAAACTGCACACAGTACTCCAGGTGTGGCCTCACCAGCACCTTGTACAGCTGCAACATAACCTCTCTGCTTTTTATTTCAATCCCTTTAGCAATGAAGGACAAAATTCCATTTGCCTTCCTAATTACTTGTTGTGCCTGCAGACCTACCTTCTGTGATTCATGCGCAAGGACACCCAGGTCCCTCTGCATAGCAGCATGCTGCAACTTTTTACCATTCAAGTAATAATCCTTTTTACTATTACTCCTACCAAAATGCATGACTTCACATTTATTTACATTGTATTCCATCTGCCAGACCTTTGCCCACTCACTCAATGTATCTATGTTCCTCTGCAAAGTTTCACAGTCCTTTGCACACTTTGCTTTGCCACTCGTCTTAGTGTCATCTGCAAACTTTGACACCCTACACGTGGTCCCCAGCTCCAAATCATCTATATAAATTGTAAATAATTGCGGTCCCAACACCGATCCCTGAGGCACACCACTAGTCACTGACTGCCAGCTAGAATAGCACTCATTTATCCCCACTCTTTGCTTCCTGTTAGTCAACGAATCCTCTATCCATGCTAATACCTTACCCTTAATGCCATGCATCCTTATCTTATGCAGTAGCCTCTTGTGCGGCACCTTGACAAGGGCCTTTTGGAAGTCTAGGTACACCACATCCACTGGGTCCCCATTATCCACCTCGCTCGTAATGTCTTCATAGAATTCCAAAAGATTTGTCAAGCATGACCTGCCCTTCATGAACCAATATCTTTTTATACTCTTATGCGACGTTCCTCAGAGTTTCAAATCATCTGCAAACTTGGAAATTGTCCCCTGCACACCAAGATCTAGATCATTAAGTATACAATCAGGAAAATCAAAGCTCCTAAAAATGGGAAACTACTACAAACCTTGAAGCCAGAAAAGTAACCATTAGCAAATGACAGCATACTATCCCTCAGCCATTTTTTGTACTCAAATTTTTTAAGTACTTAATTTACTCAGATATGGTAGCTTGCATGAATTTGGCAGCTTTTAATCATACTTCAATTGAATTGAACCCCCTAGATAGGAAGGATAATAAACTAACTTTTGTCACTCAGTAAACCAGTAAAACTGCTTTTCTATGAGATTTAAGCTAGAACTGTCACGAATGTAATAAAGGCTACTCGCCCATCCGCAAAAGCGCATGCTCAAAAAAGTAAATCATTACTTTCAGCTATACAATGCACACCATGCTATATTTGTCACTTACGTGTGTAAATGAAAAGCATTGAGCCAATTGGCAAATTCCTCGATCACTACATCTGGAACCCAAGGAAATTCGCGGTGGCTTCAAGATCACACTAGTTGAGTTTTCTATTGATACACAGTCCTAGAAGGAGCACAAGTTTGACAGATCAGCATAATTTTTAATGAAATAAATCTACTTAAAATTCTGTTCCCAAGTAATTTAGATAACTAGCCTGAGATTCATTTTGTGCAACTTCAGCTTCAGTAAAAGGTCTGATACGAAGATGAACACACATATGATCCTTTGAACCCAAACATTTTTGTTGAATAGCCTGTGAAAAACAAAAATCAGCAAATCACCACAAGTTTCATACATTTTCAAACTCTACATGTGAAGAAATAAAAACAAAAACATAAATAAGTATTTTGATCTAGTAAAGATGAAGGAGTGGCAGCAACCAAGTCAGGACGTGTGCATCTCAACTGCAAACTGCACTCATTCAGTGAAGTGAGCAGGATTTAATCACAAATCTGGAACACGAATAGTAGATGGTGGAGTTGGAGATCTTGTGATGCAGTGGGTAGTGTCCCTGCCTCCAAATCAGAGATACCAGGTTCAAGTTACACTCCAAGTCTTAATTACTAAGACAGAAATGCTTAAAAAAATGGCCAAATAGATTGCGTTTAAACATGTAAATACTTCCAAACCATGCCAATAGTGTGTGAAAAAAAGAGTAGGAGACTTTTCTGGACAGCCATGAGTTGAAAATTAATTGCAGTCTCTAACGTCCTTTCTATCACTCCAGACTACAAAAGTGAAACAAGTCTGTACTTCTACAGCAACTCTGACTCTTAAATTGGATGGGTCAGACTAGCACCAACAAAACAGGTCCAATCCCTTCTTTGCCTGGGATAGGTGCCAGATTTTTGAATGTAAGATGAAGCAAATGCCAAAGAGACACACTTAGTTTCCAACAAGACAGTCCATCATACAAAGTCCAGGAAAATTACTTGCCACATCAGCCCAAGTTCAATTGGCGAATGGATCTTGCTATGTAATTGCCAAATTCTATTATACTTATTGCTAATCAACCTGTTCAGACAAGTTGTGTGACAAACCTTCAGGGCAAGTAGAACTTGAACTTGGATCTTTGGGCCCAGAGGCAAGGACATCGCCACTGTGCCATGAAACCAACCCTTTATAATTCCACCTACTGTGGTGGAATTTGAACCCATGTCCCCAAAGCATCAGGCTGGATCTCTGGATTACCAGCAAAATTACATTAGCACCACGCCATTGTCTGCCCCCCAAATTCCATTATATACATACCACATGTGATGCATTTTTACTTTCTTCTTGGCAAAGTTCAATAATCAAATCCTTTCTAATGTCTTCAAAATCATCCACAGCAGATATATCCTGTTCGTCATTCACTGTTCCTTGTGGTTGTATAAATGACAACTTAGATGTTATTATAGGCTCCATTCTGCCAAGAAAAGAAAGAAAATGTTGGCAAAAAAACAAAAAAAAAAATTGTATTTTCAACTTCGGGTTCTGAAAAACGTGCAAAAAGGCTAGATGCAACTCACCAAAAGATTAGTTTCCTCAAATGTCACTCAGCATGACAAGAACAGGTTACCTGGTCATTATCACATTCTTGAGTTTAAGATTAGCTGTTGTATTTCTGAAATGACTTTAATGGCTTTGCTGCAAAGAACTCTATTGGCCACAAAATGAATTTTTTTAAAAATTTATTTTCCTAATCGCCTGTTCAGAGATGTTATTACATGCCTTTGGAGGAGGTGGGACTTGAACTCAGGTTTCTTGGTCCAGAAGTAGGAACACTGCCAATTCATCAGAAAGAAGGCCTCCCACACAATATTTTGAAATGGCTGGTGATATTGAAAAAGGCATGATCTATAAATGCAAGCCTCCATTTATCTATTTGATATATTGTGATTTTGAAGGTTCCACCCTCTCATCCTCCTTCCTTGCTAAAGGTTCGACAACACACAGGTTAAACCCACCAGTTGTCTCTCTCAAAGAGAGAGAGAGCAGCCCTATGGCCCACTGGGACTATGACAACTTTACCATTACCTTATGGTGCTTACATAATAAAACTCACTATGCTGCCAAAAAAAAAAAAGCCAACTGCAGATACTAGAAATCAAACAAAAACAGAAACTGCTGGAAAAACTCAAAAAAAGTCTGGCAACATCTAGGGAGAGAAAGTAGAACTAATGTTTTGGGTCCAGTGATCTTTCTCCAGAACTGGAGAATACTGTTCCATTCTGAACAAGGGTCACTGGACCCGAAACATTAAACACAGATTTCTCTCTACAGCTGGGAGATAGTAGTAACGCCGATGCTGGAGAATCTGAGATAACAAGGTGTAGAGCTGGATGAACACAACAGGCCAAGCAGCATCAGGAGGAGCAGGAAGGGTCCAAGAAGTGTCCAGACCCAAAACGTTAGCTTTCCTGCTCCTCCGATGCTGCCTAGCTTGCTGTGTTCATCCAGCTCTACACCTTGTTATCTCTTTCTCTCTACAGCTGTTGCCATTCCTGCTAAGTTTTTCCAGCAATTTCTGTTTTTAATCACTAGATTGCAAACAAGGTTTCAAAAGATAGTGCAGATTCCATTTACAGCTGGAGTAGCACGAGTTCAACTCCCACATGCTCCAGAGGAGTGTAATAACATCTGAACAGATTGATTAGAAAACATCTCACGTCTACTCAAGTACAGGGTATAAGAGTACAGTGAAAAGTGTATAATGTCATCACACATGGCATCATCTTTATGTACAAAGTACCTAGGTAAAAAATCTTAGTTACTGGCAGAAAAATAAAGAAATAAGTTAATAAGTTCAGCATTACTTGGTTTTAGCATAAGACTAGAAAAATAAAGAAATACCATTACAATGTCAAACATTACAGTCCTTTCTTGACGCTCCAAGCTGGGCTTCCCCAAGAGGGTTCGCTCTTCCCCCCAACACCACGCCGAGCAAGCTTTCACCCATGCTGGGCTAAGACCCATCTGAGCATTCCTGGCTTTGCCACCACTCAAGACTTTGGCCCTGATCACCGCAGACTGCCAGTCGTCAAGGCCAACCACTACCACCGTCATCCTTTGCCACTGGCCAGTCACTGTTCTCATCTGGGCTCCAGCCACTGCCATGCTCCATCACTGCTGCTGCCACCTCCTCTTTTACAAAATGTTCGAGGTCCGCGCTGGCCTCACTTGAGGTCCACGAGTTCTGCTGTCGATGCCACCCAAGCTCAAGAGGTAAGTAAGGAAAATAGAAGTTAAAAAAAAAAAAAAAAAACCAATTGGAGCAAATGAGCTCCAGCTTAGGAGCCAACTCTGCTGCTGTCTTGCAGGAGTGGACTATTATCACTACCATCTAGAAGGACATGTACAGTACATGGGAATGCAAGGTCCTGTCCAAACCACTCAACATTCTGATTTGGAATGGGATCGCCATTCCTTCAGTGGCGCTGTATCAAAATCATGCAACTCCAATCACCTCACCCAAATAACATTATGGATGCATCTACAGAAAGGTGGACCAAGCCAGTAGAGCCTACATCCCATGAATAAATTATTTAAATCCAAAACTGGCGCAAGTGTTCCAAATTCTCCAAGCACTCAAGAATCCTAATCAATAGGGCTGGGAAACATGCATTGGGAGCTTGCCGATGTAGAGCTTTTATCTTCCAAATATCAAGTCTTCTCTTATGCCTTAGTAAAGGACTTTATTTTCTGCAGATTAATTTCCCACACATTACTCACTGCTGCAGCAAATTGAATTCCAATGTCTTAAGCCTGCTGTTCTTAGCTTTTGGTTGGACACATCCTAGAGTAAGTAGTCTTCCATCCATTTGATTAATAAACTGAATTCCAAATAAGAGCTACTCTTTAGTCAGACAGAACACAGCAGCTAGGAAAAAAAAAATTCAAAAAGAGGAACTGGGCCAATAACACAACTTTACTCGACACCTGCCTTAACCTCAAGAGAGGCCTGATGGATCCATTGCCGAAAATCACCACTCGTATTGTCATGAAGCAAGCAATTTCTTTTTTGGAAGACAGCTATACTTCAGCAGAATCTTCTGGAATACCTTACAATTTACAAAGTCGAAGGCCATTGTCAAGTTGAAAAAGTATTGTGGTAGGCATCAGCCATTTTCTCGTAGGCTGTGATTATCCTGTCAACTATACCTCTTGATGGCCAAATCGCACACTGATTCATGGAGTAGGCGTTTAATAAATGTAATCAGTCCGTTCAGTTTTCTCCTAATGATCACTCCTTCAATTGACAGCTGGAAGATGACTAATTTTCACAGTTGGATTTGTCCGATTACTGGTCACAATCGTAGGGTCACTGGCATTACTCAAGACTTCCTCTTCACTTCAGATCTCCAAAACATGTCACCGCCAGGATGCTGAAAACGTGGAACTTGTCACCACGAAAAGTCCATGCAACTAGCAATGGTGCCTTTTAGAGGGAAGCTAGATAAATACAAAAAAAGGGAGAGGACCAGGCCAATGTACGGAATGGAGAGAATAGTCTCCGGAACACTCGCACGAGTTGTGGGAAGTCACCCCACCAAACGTATATCAAAAGGTTTTCAGTGATGTTGGTCGAGAATGTAACATTAGACAAGTGCACGGACATCTTCCGGAGCTTGTCCAATTCATAGGATCCTTTAGGTCCACCTAAATCAACAACAGTTTACAAGAAGAGTTCAGAGTGGAACCTTATTACGTATTAAATTCACCAGTGCCCATGGACAGAGTAGAGTGCACTCTATTCACCGGGACGGAAGAACAGCGACAGCGGACTTACCTGGTCTACGAAGACCGGAACCCTCTGGAGCAGACTGGCACTTGTTCAGGAGCGGCCACAGACAAGAAGCGAAGTGACCGGCCTAATTTTCGTACATTGACCACCAGGACTCAGTTGTGATCTCTCAGGCAGACAAGAGCACCAGGACTGGGACTATGATCCTTCTCATACGCACATACATAGATCACCAGAACTTAGTTGTGATCGCTCTCATACAGACAAACACTGACCACCAGAACTCAGTTATAAATCACAGATTGACCCTAGTGGCTCTAATAGCCGCTGCCTGCCGCGCGCTCACGGACTAACGTTCCTGCCGCGCGTTCTGGTTTTTAAATCCCACCAATAGCGAGCTGACAGCTTCCCGGAGCATCACGGGTAGTGGGCGGTGCAGCTGCGCAGGGGTTCTGCGGTTCATGGAAGACCATCGTAAGGTGACAAGATGAGGAGAAAGTGCTTAGTTTGTGTTCTTATTTGTAAGGATGCTAATCGGAAGGAATGCGGATAGGAGCCTGGGAATGATAGTATGACGGTCCAGCTCAGCATGAGTTTGCTTTGATGCAAGGTCGCCGTCCAGAACCTTTAACTCTGTTTCTGTCTCTTCACAGATGCTGCACTGCATAACCGAGCTTTGCCAGCATTTTCTGTTCTTTTTCGAGTTTGTCTTTGATTTAAAGTGGGATCGACAGTAGACGGTGCCTTTGAGCGAAGTCCTGCGGGCGTAAATATTGACCTTTCGAGCCCAGGAAGAGCAAACATTTCCCCTCACGTTGTGAAAGCATGGCGCCTTTTGTAGATTTGAACATCGTCAACACCACGGACAGAAAGAGATTGCAAAGTCTAATAGAAACAGCGGCACACCGTGAGTATTGTTTCTTCTTAAATCACGTTGCAATGTCTTAAAGTACGTTACAGTTTCACTCTTTGAATGTCTCAGAAGAGTGGATTTAATTAATGTTTTTTAAATGTTCTCTTGTCATGTGAAATAGTTCTTTTACCCTTTTTAGGGGACTGACAAACCGCATTGAGTGAACTGCATAGGATTTAGTTTTAATGGTGATTCCCAACCTGGAGATTATTGTCAGAATTAAATTCGTACACCGCGCTGTTCTTCAGACACAGCAAAATCGGAGTCAATGCGGATCAGAGCGAAAACTCTCTACTATTTCAAGACATGTCTAACACAAAAGATTGAAGTTTTTATAGGCCAGCCATCTCAGTGCTAGGAGATCGCTGTGGGATTTCCTCGGGGTAGAAATTGTATAATCAATCTGTTCAGACATATTCCGAAGCAGGTAGGGCTTCCACTTGGGCATCCTTGCCCCACATTAGGGGCGCTTCCATTGTACCACAAGATCCCTAACTGTTCCAAGTGTATTTTTTTAAACCTAATTTTCTAATCTACCTGTTCAAAGGAGTTATTGCACACCTCTGAAGCCAGTGGAACTTGAACCCAGGCCTCCTGGTCCAAGGGTAGAGACACTACCACTGCACCAGAAGACCCCTGACTGTTCCTAAGTGCAGAGACCTAAACCCAATTATTTTCAGATGCTTCACCAATATGAGTTCAGAATAGGGATGTTTCCTGATTGTAGATTCATTACCATCCTTGACTTCTCATATACTGAATCAGTTCATTTCTTTTTATTGGTCTCAAAACATTTCTTCACTTGGTCCACAGTTGAGCATTCAACCTTTATTGACGTTCCCACATTCTTTTGGTGTTTTTTACCATTGATGTGATCCAGGAAGTTGATGGAATCTTTCAATACACAGTCACAAACATTCCAGTAATATCCTCCCATATCAGACTGTTGTCTTTGCGATGACTATGGATTTTCTTAATTTGGATTCCAAATCCAATTTATAATCATTGTGGCGTGAAAGCTCATGCCTGATTGGTACTGGAGGCTTTGCACTTCGCATCTCTCTTTCTTCTTGCAACTGCTTATGCACCAATTTCTCATACTCCTTTTTGGTCCCACTTCTTGCAGTTTTCTGTCCTGCTCCCTGACGCCATCTGCAGCAAAATGTGGACAACATTTGGGCTTGGCCGATGAGGGGCAAGCAACAGAAGTGCCAGGTATCAACTATTTCAAACAGAACAATCCAATTGTCTCTCCATGACATTCAACGGTAATACCATTACTAGAACTCCTAGCATCAACATCCATTGACCAGAAATTCAGCCGGATCAGACATATAACTATTATGGTTGGCTGAAAGAGAAAGTTGGAAAATAGGGATTCCTGCAGTGAGTAACCTACTTCCTGACTTCCCAAAGCCTAGTGGCAATCTGCGAGACACTACTGAGGACTCTGCTGAAATGCTGTCTGTTAGCCTGGGTAAATCCAGTTCCAACAACATTCAAGAAGCATGTCTACTATGCAGGAAAAAACAGCCTATTTACTTAAGTCCTTATCAGCCAATTTAAATAGTCAACCCCATCCACTAGGGTGCAGTGGTAGCAGTGCGTACCATATAAAAGATGATGTACGAGAACAAAGACAGTAGAATTATCAGCATGCAGCCTGCAAGTTTCCATGCGAGTTATACACCATCCTGACTTGGAACTACATCGCTGTTGCTTCACTGTTACAGGGCTAAAATCCCTAACAACACTGGGTGCACCTTCACCAGAAGGACTGCAATGATTGAAAATACCACCGTCTCAACTGCAAATGCTGGGTCTACTACCATCCCACATGTCCTGTGAAAGAATGCGACAAAAATATCTTTTTTGATGTCCGGTTATCCCAGGATCAATTTTAATCATTTGTTGGGTTAAAAAGTTCAACACAGCTGCTCAGGAGTGTCATGACCCACCTCTGGAAAAGGTGGGACTTGAATTCTGACCTTCTGATTAAGAGGTGGAGATGCTGACTGTGCCACAAGACCCCCTTTACACATGGCTGTAAGTTGTGGTTAATCCTGCCATATCCAATCCATGCCCTTCCTGTTGTGCTTCGTGCTTTATGTTGTCAAATTGATAAAAGCACTCAATTTCCAATAATTGGAGGGAGAAATCATTTTGGCTTTGCCTCCAATATGAAGGAAAAACCTTTTCTATTTGCATGTGCATTACTGTTTAATTTTTTTGCTCAAAAATCCAGGATCCTCAATAGGCCAAAACAAACATTTACATTTTCTACCATAACATCTCTTCTCAATGCTCAATGTTACATTTAAATATTATTGAAACAACTTAATTTCTCTGTGTAGCTATGGAGTGTTGTTCACTTAGAGTCATGGAGCATGGAAATAGACTGGTTGGACCAAAAGGTCTGTGCCGACCATAATCCTAAAATCAGAAGTCACATGACACCAGGTTATAGTTCAACAGATTTATTTGAAATCACAAGCTTTCAGAGTGTTGCCCTTTTATCAGGTGAAGTGAAGAGAAGCACACAGGCACTGAATTTATAGGTAAAGAGACAAAAGAACGTGCAAATGATGTGAGTGGAGTGTCGACAGGCTGAGTAATAAGTCTCAGCAGGTGATCAACAGTGTCAGATGGTGTGAGTAAAGTGTCAACAGCTGAATAGTAAGTGAAGGGATGAGTTATAATTTGATTCTGAGGCAGAGAGATAATTACAAAACATTTAAAAATAAAGGGGTGCTGGAGACAAACCAAATGGCTGAAATAACATGATAGGTTTCAGAGTTATGTGCCGATCATAATCCCACACTAAACTAGTCCTACCTGCGTATGTTTGACCCATATCCCTCCAAACATTTCTTATTCATGTACTTATTTAAAAGACATTTTATGTGTTGGAAACGCACCCCCGCATCCACCACTTCCTCTAGCAGTTCATCCACACACGAGCCACTCTGTTTAAACAATAGAATATTACCCCGCATGTCTTTTTGAAATCTTCCTCCTCTCACCTTAAAAATATGCCTCCTAGTCTTGAAAACCCCACCCTAGGGAAAACACATCTACCATTCATGTTATCTACACCCTCATGATTTTATAAATCTCTGAGGTCACCTCCTATGCTCCAGTGAAAAAATGCCCCAGCCTCTCCTTATATCTCAAACCCACCATTACTGGCAACATCCTGGTAAATCTCTTCTAAACCCTCTCCAGGTTAATAAAATCCTTCTTATAACAGGGCGACCAGAACCAGACAAAGTACTCCAGAAGAAGCCTCACCAACCTCTTGTACCACCTCAACGTAACATCCCAACTCATGTACTCGGAAGTCTAAGCAATGAATACAAGTGTGCTAAAGGCCTTCTTAACCACCCTATCCATATCTGAGGCAAACTTCAAAAAGTTATGTACCTGAACTCCTAGGTCTCTGTTCTACAACACTGCCCAAGGCCCTACTTTTAATTGTACAAGTCCAACCCTTGTTTGTCTTACCAAAATGCAATAGCTCATATTTATCCCAATTAAACCCCATCTGCCACTCTGCAATCCATTGACCAATTGATCAAGATTTCTTTGTAATCTCAGAAAACTTTTTTCACTGTCCGCTATACTGCCAGTTTTGGTGTCATTAGCAAACTTACTAACTATGCCTTCTATATTCTCATCTAAATTATTTATACAAATGACAAACAAAAGTGGACCCAGCACCAATACCTGTGGAACACTGCTGTTCACAGGCCTCCAATCTGAAAACAACCCTCCACTGCGCCTCTGTCTCCTACTGTAAAGCCAATTTTGTATCCAATTCACAAGTTCCACCCTGAATCCCAAGAGATCTAACTTTACTAATTAGTCAACCATGTAGAACCTTGTCAAAGATTTTACTAAAGTCCAAGTATACAATGTCTTCCGCTCTGCCCTTATCAATCATCTTGGTTACTTCCACAAAAAACTCTTAAGTTTGAGGAATATAATTTCCTCGGATAAAGCCATGCTGACTATCCCTAATCACTACTTGCCTCTCCAAGTGCATGTAAATCCTATCTTTTAGAATCCTCTCCAAAAACCTACTCATCACCAACATCAGACTCACAGGTCTATAGCTCCCAGGCTTCTCCTCGCATCCCTTCTTAAACAAAAGCCAACATTAGCTGTTCTCCAGTCATCCGGCACCCCAACCATAGTTATAGACGATACGAATATTTCTGCAAGCGGCCCCACAATTTCCTCCTTAACTTCCCACAATGTCCTGGGATATACGAGATCAGGTCCCAGAGATTTATTACCTTTGTTTTCTAATATCTGCAGCACTTCCTCTTCTGTAATGTGAACTGTTTTCAAAACATCAGTATTTACTTCCTTGAGGTTCTCTAGCCTCCATTTCTTTCTTCACAGCAAAAATTGACATGAAATATTCATTTAATACCTCTCCTACTCCTGAGATTCAACACAAAGATGACCTCTTTGATCTTTAAGGGGTCCTACTCTCTCTTTAGTTACTCTCTTGCTCTTAATATACTTCTAGAATCTCTTTGGATTATTCTTAACCATATTTGCTAAGGTTATCTCATAATCTGTATTTGCCTTCCTGATCCCTTTTTTAAAGAATGCCTCTACACTCTTTTGTACTGTTCAAGAGATTCATTTGAGCCCACTTGTCTGTATGTAATATACGATTCTATTTTATTCTTGACTAGAACTTCAATATCTTTATTCATACATTATTCTCCAATCCTACCAACCTTACCTTTCACTCTAACATAATGATAATGAACATTCGTTATCACACTTTTGAAAGCCTCCCACTTATCAAACGTCCCTTTACCTGTGAACAGTCTATTCCAATCAATTTTTGCAGGTTCTTATCTTGTACCATTAAAATTTGTCTTACTCAAATTAAACACTTTAATTTTGATGGAAGGCTTATCCTTTTCATAACTATTTTAAAACAAGTATTATGATTACTAGACCCAAAGTGTCCCCCAACTATCACTTCAGTCACTTACCCTGCCTTATTTGCCAACAGAAGGTCAAGTTTTGCTCCTTCTCTAGTAAGAATATTTACACGTTGACAAAGAAAATTTTCTTGAACACAAATTCTTCACCATCAAAACCTTTAACACTATAGTAGTCCCAGTCTCTGTTTGGAAAATTAAGATCACCTCCTGTTACAACCTTATTATTCTTAGACACATCTGACATCTCTCTACATACTTGCTCCTGAACTTCCCACTGATTGTTGGGGGGAGTCTACAGTACAACCCCATAAAGGTGATCATTCCTTTTACTGTATTTCAATCTGCACATTTTCACCGGACGATTTTTCAGAAATATCTTCTCTAGTTACAACAGTAATAGAGTCATACAGCACAGAAACAGACCCTTCAGTCCAACCAGTCCACGCTAAAAATAATCTGAAACTAAACTATTCCCATCTGCCTGCTATTGGCCCGTATCCATGCACTTATCCAACTGTCATTTAAACACTGTAATTGTACCCACATTCACCACTTCCTCAGGAAGTTCATCCACACGCGAACCGTTCTTATATGAAAAATTTACTCATGTCTTTTTTAAAATCACGCCTCTTGCCTTAAAATTGTGTTTCCCCCCCTAGTCTTGAAATCCTCCACCCTAGGGAAAAGCTAACTGCCATCAATTCTATCTATACCCCTCATTATTTTACAAAGTTCTATCAGGTCACCTCTCGACCTCCTACGTTTCACTCTACCCAGCCTTTCCTTATAACTCGAACCTTCCATACCTGGCAACGTCCTGCTAAATCTCTTCTGAACCCTCTCCAGCTTAATAATATCCTTGCTATAACTGGGCGACCAGAACTCGACACCGTATTTCAGGAGAGGCTTTTAAAAAGTCCTGTACAACCTCAACATGATTTCCCAACTCCCATACTTGAAGGACTGAGCAATCGAGGCAAGCGTGCTGAACGCCTTTTAAACACCTCATGTTTTCCTTAATCAAAAATGTCCTTTTGCCTCTTTGTATCCTTCCTCTGGCATCTGAAACCCAGAACATGCAGCTGCCAGTCCTGACCATCCTTCAGCCAGGTTTCTGTAATGGCTGTGATGCCCCAATCCCATGTTCCCGAGCATGCCCGGAGTTCATCAGCCTTACTGTAAGACCTCTTGCATTGAAATAAATGCAGTTTAATTTTTCAGAGATACCGCCTTCACAGACTTGCTGTTGTCTGTCTTTTCTGATTAACTTGTTCTTTTCAGATTCAAAACCATCCTTAATTATCTTTCTATTTGCTTAGTTGTTAAACTTCAGTTTAATATTTGTGATTAAAGTATTTTAGAATAGCAGGGCTGGATTTCACAAGGTGTATTAAATGAGGAATTGGTTAAAGAATGAGAAGTGGTGTTTACTAGCCATTACTCTTAATTGAAATAATGATCTACTACTTATACTGTTAAGGAGGCAATACTTCCGAGGAAGGGTCACTGGACCCGAAACGTTAACTCTGTTTTCTCCTTCACAGATGCTGCCAGACCTGCTGAGCTTTTCCAGCAACTTTGTTTTTGTTCCCGATTCACAGCATCTACAGTTCTTCTGGTTTTTATTATGTGGTTCACCAGTTGTACTTTCCTTTATTTCTTGTTTGTTTTATTTTTGCAGCTGTGTTTTCCGCTATCTAGGCACTCCCTCGAAATTTTTTACCCTCACTAAATCCATTTCTTTGAGTAAGCTCACGATTTGTTTTTTTTCCCCTCCTAATTTGAATCCTGACAAAATGTTATTGATTTGAAAGGTTAACTTCTTCTGTTCTGCATATGCTGCCTTACTTGCTGTTTCAAGCAGTTTCTGCTTTTATTCCAGTTTTCAAAATCAAAGTATTTTGCTTTTGTTTCTTTCCATATCTGCTCTTGGCTTGATTTCTACATTTTTAATTGCACCTGTAAAGCAGGACAGAAATATTTACTGCATTGCAGCCACTTGTTTTTGGGTGAGGATGTAAAGTACGGTTGTACTTCATTAAACCTGGAAATCTGTACCATCTTCCGTTGATGGTTTATGCTTTGAAGACTTGAGTAATCTCAATTGTCTTTTGTACCTGGATATGTGGCATTACAGACAAGAGGGTATATAAGCACTAGAATTATGGTACATACAACTATTTACACAGATCATTGTAGTTTAAATTAAATTCAAATATACTGAAGCAGACAGTGTGAAAAGTTCTGAACTGTTACCAGGAAAAGAAAATGTCAATCCGTAAGATTTCACACAGATAAACACAGATTGAAAGATTTGTACCTAATTTATATGCTACTAGAATAAAATAGTAAGTTCTGAAGAAACTACGTGGGTCTGGCTGCATTTGGAGAGAGAAACAGTTATCATTTCATGTCAGTTATATTTAATGCTGCAAAATTTGAAGTTTCTCCATCTTCTGTTTTTATTTCAGACCTTTCATTTGCAATGTTTGATCGGTAATGTCGTAACAATATAGAAACAGTTAAACTATGATGTATTTTCTGTTCTCTAGTTGGTTATTCAACAGTTGCACTTAATCACGTGGTTGAGTTTCAAGGGAAAAGGCAGGTATGGAAGCTTTGTTAATGTCTTAAATTCTACAAAGTGGTTTCTGTAGCCTAAATCATCATTTTTACCTATCTAAAAGTTTTTAATATCTGTTATTTGTCTTCGGGCATGGTGATTTTAGGACTCTGGTTTCACATTCATTTTAAAAAGAAATCAGAAATCACTTAACAATGGGCTATTGCCACAAAGTAACCAATATCCATGGGGTAAAGTTGGTACTACTTCTACATCATTGTTTGTTTTGCCGTAAATCAAAATAGTAGAACATAGTACGGGGACAGTAATTATATTTTATGTTGTTGACAGAGTTTATAATATAACTATTCCCAAATTAAGTTTTGAAATATATTTGTTAAATTATACACTGCCTTACCCACTCATCTTTAATCACTCTTTTTAAAAAATCCCACACAGTTAACTACATATCAGATGTCTTCAGTGTCCTGAACCCCATTTCTAAAACAGATGCCCACCTGAAGCATAAATTGTTCTGTCTTTCTACAGATACTGCCTGATCTGAGTATTCCAGTATTTTTAATTTTTATTTAATTTTGATACAGCATCTGCAATGTTTGATTTTGTATTCTGAAATTTGGAAGTAACAGCACAGCAATCTACCCTGAGACATGAGTTTTTTTTTACATTTTATTAAATTAAATGCAGTACATCTTCCAGGAATCCCACCAAATAATTGAGGCTCTGTTCATAGTTGGCACCAAAACTCAGTGCCCACCATTACATACACCTTCCCATCTATAACTGCGACACTTATTCCACATCCAGACTTTTGAAGTCTGTTAAAAGTAAACCACACAGTCATATGTGTAATTCCAACAATAAAATATTCAGTTTCTGAGCCCCCACCACCACCTGTCACTTTTCTGTTTTTTTACTGCTGAGTGCCAGTAATTATTTTGTCATTTCATGGGTTGAAAATGTTAGTAAATGTCAGTAGTAACATTTCCATACAATCTGTATAAATACAAGTTGCTGTTGCATTTCATAATTGCATTGCTGTATAAATTTTTGTTGCAATGAATACTTTATATGCAAGAGTAGATTATTTTTGCTATTTCTGATTTTAGATATATCTACACTTTGGCCATCAGTGAAGCAACAGGAGATCAACTTATGTATTTGAATTTGTTTTTTTTTAAATTTGGCATTTATTACGATGATAAAATGTTTTCCAGGAAATAGCCAAACCAACATCTATTGCAGAACTTTTCCCATCACCGCCTATTGTGCAGGTATGTACAAAAATTGATTTTGCAAATATGATTTTGAAGCATTTTATTTTCTCTAATTCCCACCATGGTACAGTGACTTTCGGATGTTGTCATTCCCAGATCATTTGAGTAGGCTAGCAGAACTTAGTCTTTTAATCAATTTAAAGAGGGTAGGGGCATTCTTAAGAGAGAAATCAGGAAGGCAAGGAGGGGATATGAGATAGCATTGGTAGGTAAGTTTAAGGATAATACAAAGAGATTGTACAAGTACATTAAGATCAAGAGAGTAACTAGAGAGAGGGCTGGGCCCCTTAAAATTCAAGGAGGTCATCTTTGTGTTGAACCTCAAGAGATGGAACAGATACTAAATGAATGTTTTGCATCCGCTTTTACTGTGGAGAAAGAAATGGAGTCTAGAGAATGCAAAGAAATAAACTTTAATGTTTTAAAAACAGTTCACATTACAGAAGAAGAAGCTCAAGACGTCTTAGAGAATATAAAGGCGGATAAATCTCCGGGACCTGATTTAATGTATCCCAGAATGTTGTGGGAAGTAAAAGAGGAAATTATGAAACCCCTTGCAGAAATATTTGCATCATCTGAGGTTGAGGTACCTGATGACTAGAGGGTGGCTAACGTTGTACCTCTGTTTAAGAAAGGTTATAAGGAGAAACTGGGGGACAGTAGACCTGTGAGTCTGACTTTGGTTGTGGGTGAATTGTTGAGGTGATTATAAAAGATGGGATTTATGGGCATTTAGAGAGGCAAAAATCAATTAGGGATAGTCAGCATGATTTTTTGCAAGGAAAATCATGTCTCTCAAACTTGATTGAGTTTTTTGAGGAAGCTACCAAAATGGTGGTTGATGGCAAAGCAGTAGACATTGTTTATTTGAATTTTAGTAAAGCCTTTGAGAAGGTTAATTATGATAGACCAATTAGCAAAGTTAGGTCACATGGGATTCAGGGTGGGCTTGCCGATTGGATACCAAATCGGCTTATCGGCAGGAGACAGAGAATAATGGTGGAGGGTTGTGGAGGCCCGTGACCAGCGGTGTTCCACAGAGATCGGTTCTGGGTCCTCTTTTGTTTGTCATTTATATAAATGATTTGGATGAGAATGCAGAGGCATGCTTAGTAAGTTTGCGGATGACACCAAAATTGGTGGCATTGTAGACAGTTTTCTAAGATTACAAAGGGATCTTGATCAAATGAGTCAATTGGCTGAAAATGGTAGATGGAGTTCAATCTGGATAAATGCAAGATATTGCACTTTGGTACAACAAACAAGGGTAGGGCTTATACAGTTATTGGTAGGGCCTTGGGTAGTGTTGTAGAACAGAGGGACCTACGGGCTGCAGGTACATAATTCTTTAAAGTTTGTGTCACATATAGACAAGGTGGTTAAAAAGGCATTTGGCACACTTGCTTTCATTGTTCGGTCCTTTGAGAATAGGAGTTGGGATGTTATGTTGTGGTTATACAGGACGTTCGTGAGGCCTATTCTGGAAAACTGTGTCCTGTTCTGGTGGCCGAGTTATAGGAACGTTATTATCAAGCTGGAGAGGGTTCAGAAAAGATTTACAAGGATGCTGCCAGATATGGAAGGTTTGATTTCTAAGGAAAGGCTGGAGAGGCTAGGACTTTTTCTCTCTGGAGCATAGGAGGTTGAGAGGTGATCTGATAGAAGTTTGCAAAATAATAAGATGTATAGATAGAGTTGATGGTAGTTGTCTTTTCCCTAAGATAGGGAATTTCAAAACTAGTGGGCATATTTTTAAGGTGAGAGGAGAGAGATTTAAAAAAGACGTAAGAGACAAATTTTTACGCAGGAGGTGCTTTGCGTGTAAAATAAACCTGCTGATGAAGTAGTGGATGCGAGTGCAATTACAAGATTAAAAGACATTTAGATGGATACATGAATAGGAAAGGTTTGAAGGGATATGGGCCAAGAGCAGGCAGGTGGGACTAGTTTAGTTTAGAATTATGTTAGGCGTGGACTGGTTGGACTGAAGAGTCTGTTTCCGTGCTGTATGACTCTATAACTGCAGGCCACCTACCAGGCATAAATTTTCACCATGATAAAAACATGATTAATGGAAGATAGTGTTGTTTTTGATTAAACATTATTGTTGCTTGCATTTTATATTGACTCGTGCCACATGCAGGAGGTGAACTTGCAAGTATTGGAACAATGATTCTGGCTTGTTGTGTCTTATGGCTAGTGGATCACCGCAACCACTGTGGGTCCCCAGCGATCTGCTGAGAATATCTGAGAGTCACTACAAAAGTAAATTGGACAGTAACAAGTAGTATTTTCATCTTAGGTTGTTAACCATCAACCCTGTAGAAGTTAGCATGTGCAGTGACAGGGTGAACAGATGATTAACTTTTACTTACACTGCATCTATTAAATTCTCCACAGTTTCTGAGGAACAGATCAAATAAATCACTAGCTAAAGTCTGAAATAGAAACACAAAATGTTGGAAATATTCAGCAGGTCAGGAATGAAACAATTTATGTTCCAGGTTAATGACCTTTCACCAGAATTAATTCGAAATATCTGTTATAAATATATGAATGTCAAAATTAGACATAATGTAGATGAAAAATTAACGAGTGGAAGTAGGGTGGCTAAGGATAAAACTGTCATGATGGCCATATTAAACCTTAAAACCCTACAATTCTCTACATTGCTGCTTTTTATAAGTTAATCATAATGCATTCTGAACATTAATTGAAAATAGCGCTGATGATTATGCCTGCTTTTTTTTCTTAGGGTGGTTTAGTGCTGTTTCAGATTATTTCCACACACTTTTTAAACCTGAAGTATGATGGAAAATTGATGCGACAAAGAAATAAATATGTTTTGCTGTGATTGTTGAAAAGTAAAACCGGAAATAGTTAACACTTGAGTTTAATAGAATTTCTGTTGAATAGGGGAAATCAAAACCAATTAAAATTGTGACCAGACTTACTGTGATTGTCTCTGATGCCTCTCACTGCAATGATCTGGTGAGTACAGATTCTTAATGTCTAATCTTATGGAGATTTGATTTCCAGGATGTAAATTTTTTTTTTCAAACTAATTAAAAGATTATGTTGTACAATGCAGAAGAAAAGACATTAGGGCTGTTGACACATAACATTTTTAAGTGTTGGTTGATGAAGGAAGTTGAGAGAAACTGAATCATATTCAGAAAGGGTTGCTTTTAAATAAGGTATGGTAGAAGTTGACTAGGGAAAAGGAATTACAGGAGACAGCAACAGCTCCTTTAGGACTGATTTTTGAAACAACAGCAGCTGAAATAGTAAGGTGTGGAGAGTTTGTAAGGTACTATCTTATTGGTGAGCAGAGTGAAGCACAACAATGATGTTATATATGAAAATGAAGAAGGTGTAGATTAGGGTTTTAACTGCAATAGTATGGGGAGGCAAAAGTCCACAAATTCAGGTGGCATAATTTTGATCACCCTTTAATTAGAGCAATTTTCAGCTTTTCAGCAAAGAGCAGCAGTGATCTTGGAATGAGGAGAGTAGCGAAAAAAGTGGAGCTGAATATATTTGGGTATGAATGTGGAAGCCTACCCCATTAAATGACTTGATCAACTGAGGAGTATTCCATTTGGGTGGTAGCCTATGAAATTTTAAACCTGATTAAGAACATTTGATTTTATTAACACTAAAGTTGTCTGTCAACTGTCTTTAGATTTTGCCAAATCTGTGAAATTTGACCTGATGTCAGGAAAATTATTGTTCTAAATTGTACAGGTTAGCTAGTTTCAGATTATTTAAAGTTACGTTTAAAATGAGAGTTTCATGCATGTGTTCAAAATACATTTTCATGATAACCATTGTTATTTTTCATTTTGTATGTGTTTGAGAACTGCAGAAACGTAAATGTAGGGCCAATTTATTTTACAGCCTGTGAACAACTTGGGCAATGACCACTCAGGAAAAATATGGTGTGAATATGAAAATGATATGTGCGATGTCGAAATTAAAAAGTCAGATTTATCATCCTAGGTTTTCATGGCTAGCTAAGAAACTTGCTAGTTCGCGGCTCAGAGCTTATTAGCACATATTAATATGTCATTATTACTGAAGTTTGCCTCATTTTATGTAATTTGTTATTTTCCCAATCAGTAGAGAGAATCTAGATAGCAGCTGATAACTAGATGAAAGCCTGAGTCTACCTGCTACTTGCCAGTGTCTTCTCTGGCCTCCATCTTGGCCAGCATTTCGCAACACCTCATGCAGGCTTCATGGGCAGTGACTACCTGCATCCCCCACAATTGGAAGTTGCCATTGGCTAAGTGCCAGGCTTATCACTTAATGGCTCATTTTAAACTTGCTTATAATACAGGCGAGCACTGCAGTACTGCATTTTTTGGAGTTCACTGACACTATCTTCTGATAGGCACCCATGTCAGTCATCAAAACACAGTGCATCTCAGGACTCTTAGCTTGCTTACTTGGTGCTCACTCACTTTGCACTTACTGGATGCTTACAGCATCTCTGCTTTGCATTGCCTTTTAATGCAAACAAATAGGCATCATCATGTTTGGCAGCAACGAACAGTCAAGGGGGACTGTTGTCAGTCGGGGGCCTTCTTGTCTCAGGAAAGGTGGTGAGGTGCCCCAAGTGAACAAGTGGGAAGCGCAAAGGACAGTTAGAGTTAGTAGATTGGACAGATGGAGTGTATGAGAGCCAGTCTAGACAGGTAGACAGTCTTGGTGGGAGGTGGGTGCAACAGTAGAGTTAGTGAATATGAGGGATGATGCTACTTCATTTGAGGAGCACGAAAAGATCATCAGTCATCTTGCAGCATTGGTGCATATTCCCCCAGTCCCCATGGACACCACACTGACCCAGGTGGCTAGTTCAAACCAGTGCTTGAAATGATGCACAGCTGGGGGTTAAATATGACAGCCACGGTGTGAATGCTAGAAGTTCCTGGCATTAACAAGCATCTTGCTGCTGCTGAGCATGTGAGAGCAGAGGCATAGTGCATGTTTAATGAGATAAGAAGTGTTAAAATAGTGAGAGGGGAAAAAATTGCTAGGACTTGCAGTGGGACACCCCCTTCTCCCCCAATAAAACTCCCCGAAATTTGTCACTTCGTTTAATTTTTTTGGAAAATTTAGCTCTTGTTCCTCTGCAAACAAAGCACGTTGGTAGCTAAGTGTTAGAACAAATGTAATCTAGTCATATTTCTGCTTTACTTGCATTAAAGTTTCATTTAAACAAAGTTAATGTTCTGCCCTGACATTTAATACTCAGTTTTGTTCCAGAGAACTACCTCCCCGCATACCAGATCATATGACATTGTGGCTGTGTTACCAAAAACAGAGAAGTTGTTTCATGTAAGTCCAGAAGCTTGAAGAGAGGGTAATTTACAAATATCTATCTACAAATGAACATATTCTTGCTTTTATTTCAGTTGTTCTTTTAGGTGTATGGCTTTTTTAAAAAAAAATCTGCTAATTTAGCATCTACAAATAATTTTTTTCCTCTCCGCATCAATATTAAAACTTGTGAACGTAATAAGTGAATATGCGAATCAAGTCCAATCCTCCCTTTCACAAACTATGTCTGTCTAAACTGAAACTGTCTGTTTTTGGCTTAAGTCATCTTCATAAGCAGGATGTTCCTGCAGCGTTAACCTGCCCAATATAAGAGCCTAGGTGTTGGAAACATAGATTAAAGAATCTAGGACAGAAAAACTTACAATAGTGATGGTATCTGCCAGCTGCTGGACCTCTTGATGTTGTGTAATAAAAAATCAACTAGAAGAACCCCACCTGTAAAGATATTATCGAACTCCTGTAATAGTTTAATGAGAATGTTTGCTGTTCTCCCTGCTTCAACTTGCTGCACATCCCAGCAAGTTTCCCGTTTCAGATCTTGCGTGATGAGGTTGTTACGCTCACAGTCAAGTTGTTCTTATGAATGGGTGGTAATTTCGGAGTTCCCGAGATATAGGAGATGTCCCTATGGTATGGCAAATTGCATATGTCACTCTGCTTTTTAAGAAGGATGAAAGACGAAAATCAGGGAATTACAGACCAATTAGCCTAACATCTCTGGTGGAGAAATTGTTGGAGTCTATAGCCCAAGATGGAGTAACTGAATACCTTAAATTTTAATTTCATCAGCAAGAGCCAGCATGGATTCATGGTAGGTAGGTCATGTCTGACAAACCTTATTGAACCTCCAGAAAGAATTTTATCAAATTCTATGTAAGAAACTGTCAACTAATGAGGGCAAATTACTGACATAGCTGGGAAATTGGTTGAGTGGCAAATGTCAGAAAATAAGGATAATGGGTAGGTACTCAAATTGGCAGGATGTGATCAGTGGTGTCCTGTAAGGATCTGTATTAGGGCCTGAATTATTCACATTATTTATTAACATTTGGATAATGGCGCAAAATCTCCTATATTCAAATTTTCTGATGACATAAAATTAGGCGGCACTGTGAACAGTGTAGATGATAGCATAAAATTTCCAAGGATATTGACAGACCAAGTGAATGGGCAAAGCTGTGGAAGATGAAGTTCAATGTAGGCAAATATGAAGTTATCCATTTTAGACCAAAATGTAGTAGATCAGGGTACTTTCTAGATGGTATGACATTAAATGTAGTGGATGTCCAAAGAAACTTGAGGGAGTTCCAGTGCATAGATCTTTAAAACTGCTCCAATGTGTCCAGGGATATGCAGGTTGGGTGGATTAGCCACAATGAATATAGGGTTATGGAGACAGGGTGGGGGAACTAGGTCCGGGTGGGATACTCTTTGGATGGTCATTGTGGTTTCAATAGGCCAAGTGGCCTCTTTCCTCATTGTAGGGATCCTATGAAAATGTCACCAAGAGGTGCAGTAAATGATCAAGAAAGCTAATGGAATGCTGGCCTTTATTTCTAAAGGACTGGAGTACAAGGAAGCAGAAGTCATGCTGCAGATATATAAAACACTTTGAGCAGATCTGGGCAGCACAGCTTAGAAAAGATATATTGCCGTTGGAGGAAGTACAACCTACGTTTGCAAAAATGATACCTCAGTAGTTCGCTTATGAGGAGAGCTTATGCAAACTAGGTCATGACAAAGAAGATTAACAAAGGCAGAGCAGTGGATGTTATCTACATGGACTTCAGTAAAGCTTTCGACAAGGTTCTGCATGGGACATTGGATAGCAAGGTTGGATCACATGGAACACAGGGAGATCTAGCCATTTTGATACAAAATTGGCTCTAAGTTAGGAGACAGGGTGGTGATGGAGGGTTGCTTCTCAGACTGGAGACCTGTGACCAGCAGTGTGCCACAAGGATCAGTGCTGTATCCACTGCTTTTTGTCATTTATGTAAATGATTTGGATGTGAATACAGGAGGTATGGTTAGAAAGTTTGCAGATGACAGCAAAGAAAGTTACCTCAGAGTACAGTGGGACCTTGATCAGATGGGCAAATGGGCCGAAGAGTGGCAGGTGGAGTTTAATGCAGATAAATGTGAGGTGCTGCATCTTGGAAAATTTGGCAAATCAGGACATGACTTACACACTTAATGGTAAGGCCCTGCGGTGTGTTACTGAACAAAGAGACCTTGGGATGCAGGTTCATAGTTCCTTGAGTCACAGGTAGACAGGGTAGTGAAGAAGGCATCTAGTACACTTGCCTTTATTGGTCAGTGCATTGAGTGTAAGAGTTGGGAGGTCATGTATAGGACATTGTTAGGCCACTTTTGGAATACCGCATTCAATTCTGGTCACCCTGTTATAGGAAAGATATTGTGAGAGGATTCAGAAAAGATTTACAAGGATGTTGCCAGGGTTGGAGGGGTTGGGCTATAGGGAGAGGCTGAATAGGCAGGAGCTATTTTCCCTGGAGTGTTGGAGGCTGAGGGTGACCACATCGAAGTTTATAAAATCATGAGGGGCATGGATAGGATGAATAGTCAACTCTTTTTCCTGGGATAGGGGAGTCCAAAACTGGAGAGCATAGGTTTAAGGTGAGAGGGGAAAGATTTAAAAGGGACCTAAGGGGCAACTTTTTCATGCAGAGGGTGGTGCATGTATAGAATGAGCTGCCAGAGGACGTGGTGGAGGCTAGTACAATTACAACATTTTAAAATGCATATGGATGGCTATATGAATAGGAAGGGTTTAGAGGGATATGGACTAATGCTGGCAAATGGGATAGATTAATTTAGGATATCTGGGGAGGGCTTGCCTCTCCTCCCCACCCCCAATATGCATGGTCCACCTGCGTTATCTTGTCTCATCCCACTAAATTATCTTCACTTAGAACATCTTTACTATCAAGCACCCTTTAAACAAATTAACAGAAAATATATGCATTACAATGAAATATTTGGCATCTTGTGCAGAAAGATTCAGACATAACTAATAGTAAGAAAGGATTGGTGACAGGAGATAAATAAACACCCCAAATAAAAATGAGAGAGAAAATAGCGAAAAGTAAAAGAGAAATAACTAATTAAAGAATGGGTTATCACAAAAGCAAGACAGTTTTCATTCTTTTCTCCAGGAGCAAAATTGTAACTTTTTAAAAAGCTATTCATCCCTTTGTGCTGTCCTATTCATTCCTATTCCCAAAATGAAATTTCACTTCTAAATATGATAGAATTGTGGAGATCCTGTTTAATTAAGCAAAACTTACTTTGTTAAACCTTGTTTTTAATGAAATATTTTTGTGACATAACAAATTACTATTTAACAGGTAGCTTGTATGACCTTGGACATCGACTTAATTTGTATTAATGTGATCGAGAAACAACCATACCATTTTAGACGGCCTTCAGTCAATGGGGTAAGTACTGTTTGCTCAGCAAAAGGTAGATTAGAAATAAATAATCATTTTACAAAATGGCCATTTTTACCTGAAAAATGTGTTAATAAAAAGTAGAAGATCACCAATAACATCAAATTTGCTTTGATCGCAAGCAGTAAATAGCAGGATGTGAAGTATTTTGCATAATAACTGGAAATATTGAGTTGAGTCTGGCACAGATCTTGCCAAACCAAATGGAAGATAGAATTTGGAAAGCTCACGGTATAAGATACTAACAGCATTCCAAAATTATTAAATAGCAAAGGGGCAAAAGGAGGAGAGGAAACAAGTAGAATAAATATCATTTAGAGGAGCAGTGCTAGGGAAGCTAAATGCTGCTGAAGACTGAAGTCTCCTGGACCTGATGAGATTCATCCTAACATATTAAAAGGAAGTAGCCACAGACATCATGGATGCACTAATAGTAATCTCCAATAATCTATACTTTCTGGAAAAGTCCCAGAAGTTTGGAAAGCTGCTAATGTACCATCTTTCAAAATAAAGGGAGGAAGACAAAAAAACAGGTTAACTACAGTTCAGAGATATTAGGAACTACAGATGCTGGAGAATCTGAGATAACAAGGTGTAGAACTGGATGAACACAGCAGGCCAAACAGCATCAGAGGAGCAGAAAAGCTGACGTTCTGGGCCTAGACCCTTCTTCAGAAAAGGATTTTCTGCAGAAGGGTCTAGGCCCGAAACATCAGCTTTCCTGCTCCTCTGATGCTGCTTGGCCTGCTGTGTTCATCCAGCTCTACGCCTTAACTACAGTTCAGTTAGTTCTGAGTCTGCTATTGAGAAAATGTTAGTCTATTGTAAAGGATGTAATAGCAGAGCATTTAGAAATACATAATATGATCATGACTTATGTTGGGGGGGTGGTGCGTGTCAGCACCCAGGGAGAGGTGAGGGGGTCAGAGATCAGGAGACGGACAATCTTATGACCTGGGAGAGAACCAGAAGGGAAGTTGGGGGAAGAAAGCTGCGTGGAGTACAGCAGACCCACCATCAGCCTGGTGGGCCCTCTTTCCTCTTCACTCTGAGAGATTCACTTCCTTCCTGTGTCTGATGACGCCTCTCCCCACTGCTTAACTGCATTTCAGATTGTGCCTGCTTTCCTGCGCAGTACTGCATTTGCATGTGATGTAGTACATAAATTCTACATGACCATATTGTTTTCGGAATCATGCGCATGCACTACCAAATTAGCCCACATGTGTAGCTGCCCACAGTTGCGAATGTCAGCAAACATGTATTACTGACCTTGTGACAAATGAGAATGCACTAAACTCAAATTTGTATATGACACAAAAATAAATGTGAATGCATCTGGTGAGGCTGACAGTTTGCAGAAGGATTTAGAATGAAGAAGTGAGTGGGGGGAGAAAACTTGGCAGATGGAATATAGTATCGGAAAATAAGAGGTTATGCTCTTTGGTAGGAGGAATAAAGGAACTGAATATTATTTAAATGGAGAAAGACTGCAGAAAGCTCTAGAACAGCGGAATTTCGGAGTCCTTGTCCATGAATCTCAAAAAAGCTAGTGTGCAAGTTCAGCAGGTAAAAGGGAAGGCAAATGGAATGTGGCCTTTATTTCAAAGGGTATAAAAGTAGAGAGGTTCAGCAAAAGCTATGCCAAGTACTAGTCCAAACACAGAATACTGTGAACAGTTTTCAGCCCTTTATCTAAGGAAAGATAAACTGGCATTGGAGGCAGTCCAGAGAAGGTTGACATGCAAGGATTGTCTTATGGGTAGGAGTTGACTAGATTGGACCTCTATTTGTTGGAATATAGAAGAATGAGATGCGACCTTATTGAAACATACAAGATTCTTAGAGTACTTGTTAGGGTTTTGAGAAACATGATCAAATGGTGGAGCAGACTCGAAGGGTTGAATGGCTTACTTCTGTTCCTCCATTTTACGGTATTATAACTGGTAATGTTCCTAAATGCCCTCAAGAGGCTGCTGATGAGCTGCTTTTGAACTGTTGCAGTCCACGATGGGTCAGTATTACCACAGTGCTATAAAACTGTTAGTTCCAGGATTTTAACCCAGTGACAGTGAAGGACAGGGTTATAGTTCCAAGTCAGGATGATGTGCACCTTGAAGAGGAATTTGCAGGTGATGGGACTTGCATGTATCAACTGCCTTTGTCTGTATAGGTGATAGGGGTCACTGGTTTAGAAAGTGAAAGTGCTGCTGAAGGAGCTTTAGACTGCAAATTGTAGGTGGTACACTGTCAGTGGTAAAGAGAATGAATGCTGAAGGTGGTGGAGGGGTTCCAATCCAGCAAACTGTTTTTAACTAGAAACAAGCTACTTGTGGTATTTTCTCTACTTTTCTACCCTGTGTGTTGCATATATTATTTTTTTCTTTTCTTGTAGCACCCTCATTGATGTTGAGTTCCTAAGTCATTATAGAGCAGGTTCTACATGTCCCAAGAACTACCTCAGCCAGCATTGATGACATTGTGATGATGACACTACACTCTAGCCAATCTAGAACATCAACCCCGTATAGTCATCACAAATGGGAAACATTTAAGGCATCCATCTTAAGTTGGCATTTTTTCCAGTGTGAATATGTCCTTCATTTCTATCTTTTTCCATAGTTTGATTTGAATTATTTATGAGGATTTATCTCTTCTGTCTTGTGCAACATTTGATCTTAAGTTCTTCTGAACTGGCTTCATTGTTCCTTATATTGAAAAGCCTGGATTTTCCGGTCTTTCCCCATAACGAAAGGATTAGTATTGTAGCTTCATTTACTACTATCTTGAATAAGTCCTTCAGACTTCAGCCATGTAAGCTGGACATATACTCCATGAGGTCAGGCCTAAACCCTGGCTAGTTTTAACACGATTTTCCTTGTCCTCCACTTTTTTCTGGCAGTATGATTCATCATTCAGTTGTTCTTTTTTTTTATTATTTGCTCTTCAGTGCCTGGACATGTTAAATGCTAAGCTATTAATGTCATTGTCCTCAGTATTGTCACCTGAAGTTATTTCAGCACCGTTTGTAGATTATCTGTATCATCCAAAATTTTCCTACAATGTAAGTATTTTATACCTGTCGATACTGAAGTTCGTCTAGCTATTCATTTTCCAGCTGGTAGATTTTTATCTGCCCTGACATGTTGTTACACCACTATTTTGCCTCTATCAAATTTTTAACTTTCACAGTCAAGTATATATTTGAACACTATTTAAATTATGCACAATTTCATACTTTATCATTCTAGTTACTATTTTTGTGACCCCACCATGTCTACTTATTGGCTAATGTTCTGAACCAGAGCTCCTCTGTCTTTCATTTAACTACCTCTGCCCTCTGTACTGCCCTCCCCTTTCTATTGAATACTTATGGTATATAGAACTATATACTAGTTCTATGGTTATAGCTAGACCATTCTTCCATTTATGTGGGTGGTTCCAGTGATGAGCAACCTTATTTTCCTGAATCTTTTCTGCAATCTCTAATCTCATTTTATCATTCCTAAAGTGTGGTTCCCAGAACTAAACATAATGCACCAGTTGTGGCCAAACCAATGTGGTATACTTAGTCATAACTTCCTTGCTTTTGTCCACTATGTCCTATTTATAATGTTCAGTGTGTTTTAACTACAATTTTTAACTTGCCCTGCTGCCTTCAATGATTTTTGCCCGTGTACTCCCAGATTGCTTTTGCACTCTCTTTAGAATTGGACTTTTTCTGTTATTTTTTACATCCCCTATCAAAACGAACCCCCTCATTTCTAGGCATTAAACTTCATGTGCCAATTCCAACAACCTGTCTCTGTACTTTTGAAGTTTGACACTATCCTTCTCATTTCATAATAGTTTCAAGTTTCATGTTATCTGCAAATTATGAAATTGCGCCTGAACACCACTGTATGGAATCAGGCATCAGCTGTGAATTCACAGCACTGTAAACAACTCTATTAATGGCAATAGTGTTACTCAAAATATATATGCATGTATAGATTATGGATAACATCAATTGTTGGTAATGGTATTATTTTATTGATGCCACAAATTATATTGGTTTTAAAAGAAGTACAGAATGCTTGGCTGGAGGTTTTAGTTTTATGGACATTTTTCCATCATCTTACACCCCTGGGGCATTCCATCGTAAAACATCCTCCTGTCTGAAAAGTAACTGTTAACCTCTATCTTTCTTGTTCATTATGAAATGGTTTAAAATATTTTACTTTGGTCCCATTTGTGCCATGAATTCTAACTTTTCTCACAAGTGTGGACTTCAGATGCTTTTTGGAAATCTATATGCATCTCACCAAGAGCACTGCTTTCACCAACCCTCACTTGAGCAGGTTAATTAAACATGATTTCTTCTTCACTAATCCGTGCTGACTTTCCTTTATTAACCTACATTTGCCCATATGTCTATTAATTTTGTCCCAAATGATCATTTTCATAATTTTCCTGACAACTAAGATTAAACTAACTAGCCTATTGCTGCTGACCTTACCTCTACACCCTTTATTTGAACAATTCACTGTAAGCTTGTCACTCTGCAAAAGTGTAATACTTTAATATATACATTAATATCCTCCATTGATCCTATATCCTATTGTTATCCCAGGTTTGAATTTCACTTGCTAACTCTGCAGTTTTTGCTCCAGTCTAGGAAATCCCCTGAACATCCACTGCAGTATCTACCAATTTTCTTGCCCGAGGCATGTAAGCTGCAGTACCCCTTTCTCTGTGCACATGTCACCCAAATACCGCCTAAAGGTCAATTCTCCACCATCTTTCTTGACCCTCTTTCTACTGCTTGCCATTCAGTTTACTTAGCAGAAGTCTAGCATTCTGAATGATCTTTTTAAAGGTCAACTGTACATCAAATCCTTGAGCCTGCCCTTTCCATTTGTAATTCTTGCTTAGTTTAGCAAATATATAGAACAGATTAAAACCTGATGCATTTATAGTCATTGCTTCCTCTTTACTGAAGCCACCTTACCACATCACTTGTTCTAACAATGGCTGCGGTATGATCCATGACAGTATATTCCATCTTGGCTTGGTCCTTTTATTCATTTGAAAGTCCACTATAAATTAGCAACACAAACGTGCATTCCTTGCCTGTCTTCATCATCTTCCCTTCTCCAAATTTTATAAAAATAGCAAAAATCCTGGCAAGTGAAAAGAATACAATGAATACCAATAGGTGGCAAAATAAATCTCAAGAAAAATGTATGAAAAGAAACTGACAAGGGATATTAAAAGCGCTGCAAAAATTACTATTATATGTAATATTGCATAACTGCATTATGTGACAACATAGTATTCAATATTTTATCATGTCACAGTGGGTCTTCAGTTATACTGTTTCCAAGTTTGCTTGAGTAATAATTACAGATATGAACAGTCAGACGTGGCACTGTATGGAATCAGGCATCAGCTGTGAATTCACAGCACTGTAAACAACTCTATTAATGGCAATAGTGTTACTCAAAATATATATGCATGTATAGATTATGGATAACATCAATTGTTGGTAATGGTATTATTTTATTGATGCCACAAATTATATTGGTTTTAAAAGAAGTACAGAATGCTTGGATGGAGGTTTTAGTTTTATGGACATTTTTCCATCATCTTTTTGGCTCCCAGAGACTGTGAGCTATGACTCTGCAATAGCAGATATGCTGCCTTCACAGAAATGAAAATCACAATTGTCATGGACCAGGCCACATCCCCTTCAAATATATCAAAGAGATAGCCCAGACCCTAACTTTTACCTTGTTTAAAGGCAGTTGTATGGTGCTGTATTCCAGGTGTAATTTAATCGGTTACTATACTCGGCTTTAAGCAAAATACACTTGTATTTTTACCCTACAGTTAAAATAAAACAAAAGAAAGAGGAATTGGTATAACTTCAGTGGAAGACTTAACAGAACATTAGATTATTTAACTAGCAAACAGCAACTGTTCCAATGTAGTAACATCCCATAAAGGCAGCCTTGGCAAAGGCAAAGTGAGTGAAACAGATTGTCTCACATGTGATTCTGGCAGCAGAGACAACTCCAGCTATTTGCTGTGGCCTAGAGAGATGTAACAGCTTCCATAATCAACTTTAATACCCCAGCAAGTACTGAAAGCTAAATTAAAATCCTGGTTCTGTGGGAGCTTGACTCCACCCATTCATGCTGCTTCTATTGTTCCAACTCTCTTTTTAAAAAAAAAAAGGACCCCAAGGCTGCACAAGCTGTTTGCTTTATTGGCTTTGAATAGACATCTCAATACCTATGGCTGCCTTCAAAAAAAAAGGACAAAATACACCTGTTAAAGCCATAGTATTGACACACAAGTAACCATTTACACAAACAATTAGAGCTTACTGTACACAAGATATACAAAAAGAAACATTCTTTTTGGCCAACATGTCAAGGATTGACTTTTAGATTTACCTGGGTGATAACCTGGCTAGTATTAAATTAGGAGAGATTACCTAATCTAGGATTGTGTTGCTCAAAAGGTTAAGAGGTGAGTTGAACCAAGTCTTCAAGATCGTGTAGCTAGTTTCTCAGTGTTCAATATCTGAAATCAGCAAGTTGCAGGTTTGAATATACGTCTCCCCTGACTAATTGATTTACCAGTGCCACAACAGGCTCAATCACTTAAAATGTTATTTTTCTTTTTTTTTTGTTGCCTATATCTCCATCTCTAAGTATCTAGCGTCATTCTGGAGGACAAGAGCCATCAGAAATTTGTATAGTCCTTTTTAATTTTCATCATCTGTCAACCTAGTAGCTATTGAAATCAAGGGTGCAAGCATTATAATTGGTTATTCTGTTGACTTTCTGAAGACTTGCACTTCAGCGCGCACACACACACACACACACACACACACACACACACACACACACACACACACACAGTTGTTTAAAAGTATAGTAGCTAAATGATTTATCTCCTGTTAAGCCAATAAAAATGTTGGTGATACGCAAATTTTACAGTTGGAAGCACTATGAAACATTTCCTTTAGGGGGTGCTGTTGTTGCAGACCGAAACAAGTAGGTTTCCTTCTGTATTATCACTTCTTAATTCTTCAACAAATTGACTGTTTCATTTTGAAAGTCGTAAGTATACTTAATTGTTGACGACGACTAATACTGTTTGAGGATTTGTGTTGAGTATATTCTTTTCCTTAAAATTGTTTTCAAATAAATAATTCCTCCTGCCCATTCTTGAAGCCAATAAAATGTCTTGATATATCAACAAATGGCTATGATTAATGGGTCTTCAACTGAAATGAAGATTGCCAATATAAACAATTAATTTGGATCTTAAGTTAGCATAAATATTATTTATCATTTTCCAGGAGACAGATCATCTCTTATTCTGCTTCTTGCATAGCTACTCCATTTTTTTTTGTTTTATTTCATACAACAGAGTACATGAATCCCTTCACAGAGTAAGTACCACTGAATGAATTATTTGGATTCACAAATGTAACTGGTGCAATGCCCTTTCAAAATTTGTACCAGTAAATGTAATTCTGCCTGCCATTTGACACTTGTGCTATGTTTGGACGCAGAATAAATACTTCAAAAGTTGCATTTAATTTCGGTAAAGGGAAAGATGAAATGCATCACAAAAATTTGAAAATTGTGTTAAAATTGAATGCAGTTTAATTTGGTTTAGAATTGGATTTGGATTTTACATAAAAGTGGCATATAAATGCAACATCTGAAGTTGAATTTATACATAAGATTAGGTCACAATTGCAATATGATATATATGCAATTCAGGGCACCAACAGGTGGTCGTACCTATGGCAAAGGTATAGTGAATGTGCAGTAGAAGTACTCCCAGAATTGAGTACATGAAGTAATTGAAAAACTGGGGCCGTTTTTGACTAACTATGAATGAAAGGAGAGGCAAATTTGACTTGCATGAAATATGAAAGATTTTAAGAAGATAAATAATAAAAGACTTCTTTTATTTGGCTGGTGTATCTGGTCATAAATCAGGTATTATTACAAGGAAATGAAACAATTGTGTATGATTAGTTGTGTATGATTAGGAGAATTCAGCAGTTGCTAAAATACCAGCCGGTTTATTCAACACTTAGTATGCACTTCCTACACACTAACGCTTCTTAGACAGCACACTATTCAAACCATGACCATAACCATCTAGGAGGGCAAGGGCAGCAGATATATCGAAACACCGCCACCTGCAAGTTCCCCTGCAAGCCACTCACCATCCAGACTTGGAAATATATCTCTGTTTCTTCAGTGTCGCTGGATCAAAATCCAGCTTGCTACTGTCTTCTCAAGGCCAAGTAGGGATGGACTATAAATGCTGGCCCATACAGCAATGCCCACATTCTGTGATTGAATTTTTTAAATGAGCAAATATTTCCTCCGTTCAATGTTGGGAAGTTTGAAGCCATCGTTTGCAGACTTCACTCCAAGTTCCATTCCCTAGCTATAGATTCTTGCTTTCCATGCGACAGTCTGAGATTTAAACCAGGCTATTCACAACAATAATGTCAGATTTAATGGCAAGATGACCAGCTGTGATTAGGATAAGTTAGAGGGTTTTAGTTAATTTCATAAGCAATAATCATAAATAATTTCAGGTTCATTTTTCATTTACTCTTCTGAAAGCTGTCAGGTTAAAAAGAAAGATGAGTTAAACTGCATAAAAGCTGAGATGCAGAAGTGCAACGTGGCTGATCCAGCATTAATCCTGAGGGAGTATTTGAAATAGACTGAGGATGACCCCAACTACACCAAGAAAGACAAATCAATGGGATTTAGTCAAGAATGGGAATGAAGTACAGGCCTCGGACAGGAGACAGAATGACCCCCGGGAAGATGGGGAGTGGTGAGAACAAGAGTAACAGGTGCCTCACCACTTCTAGAATGTGTTTTTAAAGAAAACAAGGTGTTTGCCTAAAATAGACTATTTCACAATTCAGTATATGTATTGTCTTCATGATTTGCAATGTACAAATATCTGATGAATCCTCATTGACTTAGCGTTCACCCTCAGAATCATTTCTGGGTGGATTCTCCCAATGTTGACTCAATAACCAATCATTGCGACCTGTTCAGAGAGTCCACAGCAGTGTCATCCTTTATTTTGTAGAGTTTGTTTAAAGTGTCTTGGCAGCCTTCATTATGTTAAACATGCCATGTAAATATACAGTAAATTGTTGGGGGTGAGAAATTAAGGAATATGTGAGTTATCTTAATTCTTGCCCTGCTCATTTGATGGAATTATCTGTCATCTTACTGAATACTTTCTAATTCTATTTCAGGCTATTGAGAGAGGAATTTACTTTGAACTAGCATATTCCCCTTCTATTAAAGATTCTACAATGAGAAGATATACCATTTCAAATGCACTTAGCCTGATGCAGATATGTAAAGGAAAGGTGAGCACAAGAGTTATCCTGTCCTGTCAAAAACTGTTTAATCAAGATTATGGATGAGGCTAAAGAAGTGTTCTGATTGTTGTTCAACAATTAGTTGTGTATAATTTTAATTGAGTTTTTAAAGTATTTGCTGTGAAACCAAGTATCATGGACAATGACAAAGCAAAACTTAATGATTTTTGAGTGGGATTTTGGAACCACAAGCTATTCCCAGTTATCTGAAAACATCTTCCACAATTAGTAATCTTTTGCAAAATCAAGGAACCGTGTGTTTTAATCACTTTGAACTTGCTTTAAGAGATCATGTTTAGAATGTTTGCCGCTCAACCTGTTTTTTAGCATCTGGAAGGGAACAGAAGCACAGCTTGGGTTGTTGTTCATTCTAGTGCCATCTTTTAATAGGCTCCCTGCCAGATAGTTGAAATCTGACTAAGGACAAGATTTTTGTCTAAAAATGGGTCCTGGCACATTTCGAATTGTTTTGTTGCATTGGAATTGTAACATCTACCTGATGGTTGCTGTATTGCCTTTTTTTTTGTACTTATTCATTCATGAGATGTGGGCATTGCTGGCTAGGTTAATTAAATGCTGTTTTATTCCTTTATGCACTGTTAAGCTTGTTATGCTGCCCTCCTTGAATTCTGAAGGTGGCATATTGTTATGTATAAAAACTTTTGATCATTGTGATCCCAATTCTTCTGTAGTAATTAGTTGATAAAATCAAATCTTTTTTTTCCATTTTCATCTAGATATCCTAGATTTAACATACCATGACAACTGCTTAAAAATATTACAATTATTATACACTTCAAAAAAAACAATAGTGATCTGGACTGTGGAGTTGCAATGACGGAAACTGGTGATGTTCACCATCAGTATCCTTTGAACTGACAACACTTTTGGCATCTCCCCAAAGTGTAACTGGGCTATTAATGGCGTTTTAAGTTATCATAAATGCCAAAAAGCATCTCTGATCCTGGAGAAGTAATTTTATTGTTGCAGAACTTTCATAACTTAGAAACATTTATGTATTTTGTTTCTAATGTGCATGCCCAATCTTCATTTTGGCTGTAAAATTTTAAATAATGAATGATTCTCAGTGTATTTTGCCTCCTAGCTTGGTTGTGAGAATTCTTCAATGTGAGTAACTGCTTGATGACATTGCTATATGCCTGGAAATCACTTTGTCCTGGCAATTTAAATTAACAACAGCAGATGGGGAGAAAATCTACACCTGAATCATAGAATCCCTACAGTGTGAAAACAGGCCCTTCGGCCCAACAAGTCCACACCAACCGTCAGTGCATCCCACCCAGACCAAGAGTCTAATAGATCTTTGATCAGCTTTCATTTGAGGTCAATAGCGAGAACTATCACTTTGCTGGCAGAAAAGTCTGGATCATTGTTAATGACAATGGCTAACACAATCGATTTTGGATTATTTTCTTCTTCTCAAATCTTGCCATTTGTTTACTAACTCAGTAGAGTTCCTGAGATAACAAGGTGTAGAGCTGGATGAACACAGCAGGCCAAGCAGCATCAGAGGAGCAGGAAAGCTGACGTTTCGGGCCTAGACCCTTCTTCAGAAATGGG